AGAAATGACCAAACAGGACACCTGACCAAATGTGTAAGAGGAGGCTAAGAATTATCATGGCCAAGAGAATAAATAAAAGACTGATGATGTATCACTGACAGAAATAGGAATATCTGGAGAATAAATGAATGGAAAAATCAATATGATTTTTATAACAAAAAATCCAAGTGGATTATCTGTTAAGACAGCTAAAGATGGGACTTTAAAGATGGATCGGTCAGTCAACTGAGCATCCAACTTTGGCTCAGGTCAGGATCTCATGTTTTGTGAGTTCGAGCCCCACATTGAGCTCTGGGATGACAGCTTGGAGCCTGAGGCCTGCTTTGGATACTGTCTGTCTGTCTGTCTGTCTGTCTCTCTCTGCCCCTCCCCCGCTTGTGTTCTAACTCTCAAAAATAAATAAATGAACATTTAAAAAAAAAAATGGGACTGGACATCAGATGAGAGCCTAGACCTTTGTCACAGCTAACACCGAGGCCCAAGTCTCTGTCAGTTGTCCCCTCCTCTTTTTCAAGGCACATTTATTCATATAAGTATTCATATACTTTAAGGTCCAGCTCAAATATTATCTCCATTTTTGAAGTCTTTCCCAGTTTCTTCAATTAAAGTGCATACTCTTGGGGCACTTGGGTGGCTCAGTCGTTAAGTGTCCAACTTCAGCTCAGGTCATGATCTCATGGTCAGTGAGTTCGAGACCCGCATCTGGCTCTGTGCTGACAGCTCAGAGCCTGGAACCTGCTTTGGACTGTGTCTCCCTCTCTCTCTCTCTCTCTCTCTGCCCCTCCCCTGCTCACGCTCTGTCTCTCAAAAATGAATAAATGTTAAAACTTTTATTTAAAAAATAGTGTATACTCTTTTTCCTTCTTTATACATAGCTCCATTAGAGCACTTTCTGTAGCCCCTTTTTTCCCCACATATCAGTTGCCCAACTGAACAGAAGTCTAGTCTTACTCTAACATAGAGCCTAGAATTAAAAAGATCTATTGAACGAATAGCAACTTTTGTCTAAGATTTGCAATTATAAAGAAGAAAACCTAAGTTTGTACAAAGGTGGGGTGAAAATTATAAAAGAAATAGAAGTTACTTAATTACCAACAAATAGTAGATAAAAATACTAAATCAAAGACCCAAGGGGGAAAAAATGAACCAAACACAAGGCATTTCTCCCTAGATACTGGTAAAGAGATAAGGATACTAGCTAAAAAAATATTTAATAGAGAAATAGATTTAGAATTTCACAGAGAAACGTGAATGAAGAAAAAGACTGAACTCCCAAATAGCCCTTAAAAATAAAACATGTTCTCTCAGATAAGAATACTCAACTAGAAACAAACTGTGGTCACAGGAACACTCAAGAAATGCAGAATAGTTTAATTAAGGAGATAATCGAAAACATATCATCAGTCCCCTCTAAGTTCACCCCCACAAAAAAACTCTTATAAAATAGAATCTCTAAAAACATTGGTTCCAGGAGGCCTCTCAAAACCCAGAAAAGGATGTTAATAGAAGCAATAAAGTTATTAAAATTAAACTCTTAACATATTGAGCTCAAATGAGGTTTTGACTCTTCTTACAGAAGTCTACAATTTATAGACCTGTGGACTATTAAAAACAATTAATGAAGATCCTAGAAAAGCAATTTTTTTATGAGCTGGTACAGCTTGATTCTTCAGGAAAAACATAAAAATATTCAAGATAATGCCTGCCTAATGTAGACTTCAATGTAAACTAAATGGCTTACTTACTGTAAAATGGCTCAGTTATTCTCACACTTCGGCAGGTTCATGATCAACCAAGGTAACACTAGCGTGGGGACTCTGAAGCTTTTTTGGGTCTCTAATGAAAGCTATGGTCTTGTCCCATACAAAAACATGCATGCATACATATATAGTCAGCATTATTAAATATGTCATGCAGTCACAGAGCCTCTGCTGTCTATTTATGACCTCCCAGAGATCCAAAGAAGCCAGCTGCAGAACTGAGACCTTAAAGAGTAGAAAAAGCAGGGAGGCTTGGGTGGCTCAATCAGTTAATCATCCAACTTTTGATCTTGGCTCAGGTCGTGATCTTGTGGTTCATGAGTTCAAGTCCCACGCCAGGCTCTGTGCTGACAGCTCAGAGCCTGGAGCTTGCTTCAGATCCTGTGCCTCCCTCTCTGTCTCTCCCCTCCTCATGCTCTCTCCCTTTTCTTTCATAAACAAATAAACCAGTAAAAACAAAACAAAACAAAAAACTGAACATGAAAATCTCTTATTGGCTGAAGCTCATCTAATGGTATACACACAGAGCTAAAATGCAAGCACATGATTTAAACTTGAAACCTAAAGTGTTTAAAAATAAGATCTAACATGGGGCACCTGGGTGACTCAGTCAGTTAAGTGCCAGACTTCGGCTCAGGTCATGATCTCACGGTTTGTGAGTTTGAGCCCTGCACCAAGCTGTGTGCTGACAGCTCAGAGCCTGGAGCCTGCTTTGGATTCTGTGTCTCCCTCTCTCTATGCCCCTCCCCTGATCCCACTCTGTCTCTCTCTCTCTCACACACAAAAATAAATACACATTAAAAATTAAAAAAAAAAAAAAAAGATCTAATATAGGGACACCTGGTTGGTTCAGGTGACACCTGATCCTGGGGTCATGGCTGAATTCAAACTTCACATTGGGCCTGGAGCTTACTTTAAAAAATAGAGAGAGAGATGGCTAGAGCTTAAAAAACAAAAAAAACAAACAAACTAATAATAACAGTAACAGCTAATAGTTATTGAGCATTTATTTTGTAGAGTATTATATTTTAAATATATTTCTATTTATAAATAAATGTAAGTAACTATTATCCCATTTCACAAATAAGGAAAACAAAGCCCAGAAATGTGCAAGGAGAGCCAAGGAACAATGATATAAACATAAAATGCAATGACTGCTATTAATAAGCAAAAAGTTTCCTTACAGTGTGCAACATCTGGCAGCAACTTAGACCTGCATTTGTATTACCACAGCTCTACAAAGCAAGAACATATTGTCCAAACTCCAGAAGGATGGCAATCTTGATCCACTTCCATATCCCTGCCAAGATAATCCTTATACCATATCCACTTTGGAGTACACTGTTACCAGAAATGTGAACACTAAATGTTCAAAAAGAGAACAATACTAACAAAAAAATTTACACGAATAAAAATGGAAGCTAAAGAGGCGCCTGGGTGGCTCAGTCAGTTAAGCGTCCGACTTCAGCTCAGGTCATGATCTCGTAGTTTGTGAGTTTGAGCCCTGCATCAGGCTCTGTGCTGACAGCTTGGAGCCTGGAGCCTACTTCGGATTCTGTGCCTCCTTCTCTCTGCCCCTCGAGTGTGCACACGCGCGCACATGCATACACTATCTTGCACTCTAATAAATATTAAAAAAATTTTTTAATGGAAGACTAATTTTGAGGAAAACAAACCTTACCTTTCTAAATCACTGTCTTTTAAAACCTTTGTTATTTTTTAAAATGTTTTAGTTATTTTTGAGAGAGAGACAGAGTATGAGCAGGGTAAGGGCAGAGAGAGAGGGAGACACAGAATTCAAAGCAGACTCCAGGCTCTGAGCTGTCAGCACAGAGCCCGCTAAATCACTGTCATTTGTATAAGAAATAAATCACGTTGAAAAAATTAGCAACTTCGTAAAATGTAAAGAGGCTGAAATAGGATATCTTTTTCCACAAAAGTAGTTCAAATTTTCCTACCTCAAACTTTTTCAATGCTCTGCCTCCTATTATGATCTTGGTACTATGCCTCTTCTACTCCAGGGACAAACACAGAAGTAGAGAAAACCTCACAGGTTCAATAGGTCTTATTAAGTCATATCAATCACAAAACTAATTCCAGATTCCTTGGATGCACCTATGCTATTCCCTGCATGGCATACAGTAAATATTTGTTCAATCTTCTCCAAGAGAAAATGCAAGTATTTAACACTTTCTACCTCCTAGAATACTACGCATTAGTGTAGTATCAATATTATTGTAGCATCAAAATAGTGCAATAAAACAAAACTTTTACGCTAAACCACATGCAGAAAAGTTATAATTCACCATTGTGTTACATTCTACATTCAAGTTGGGGAAAAATACTAATTTTTTAGATCAGTTTTTACAGCTACTGGTAATCCAAGACATCACAAAAAAATTTATCTGAACATATTCTTTTTTTTATAACAGTAACATCCTTAACATAACAAGATTTCTTATAGCCTTCTTTGTAATGTTTAATGCAGATATGACAAAGTCACAAATCATTTTCCTTACACAACGAATAAACTTTTTAAATTAGGTATGGGAAATTAGCTCCATTAAAATCAGTCACTCTACTGCATTAATATTAATATTCTAAATTCAGAGAAGGCTAAAAATCAAGAAACAATGAAAACAAACATATAAATCTGCTGCAAAAAAGCTTCCTCTCTATTTAATGCACAAAATGAAACACCTGCTCCTGATTTATTGAACTGGTAAAATATCCAAGCAAAGACACAAAATTTACAAACTATACTTAACACAAGAAGTCAAAATCAATTAAAAACAGTTCATCTCTCTGTACTGAAAAAGCTCTCTGAGAATTGAAACCTACAAAAGCAAAAATTCAGACTAAAATATTCCCTAATATTAAGCAGTATTTTTTTAAACACAACTTATAGTTGCTGAATATCAATTTACCAAAACAAGCAAGGATGACCTTATCTTGGCAAAACTCAGAATACTGTTTCTTCAACATCCTAGAAGACAGCCTGATGCACCATACTCTTCCATCTGCTTTGTTCTATTTCTTCATGCCCCAAATGGAAATTAAACCCTTCGAGTAACAGCCAAAATTTCATTAATCACAGGAAAGTAGTGAAAACGCATGATATGAATAATAGAGGTAGACACAACAACCGGTAAAGCAGCCTTGATAATAACCTTACGTAGAGACACAACATCCATCTAACAAGTACAGGAAATCACATTAAATAATTCTATTCCCACTTACCTGAGGAGCTCTCAGTAAAGACTGTTAATGTCTGTCCTCCAACACTTTGTAAAACAAATGGATGTTCTCTAGGAGTGCTGACAGAAGCGGGTTTTCCGCCAATATCATGAATATTTGCAAGGTCCTCATTCAAAGTAAATGACACCTAACAAACACATTAACAAAAGCTTATTACAACAGACTTATGTATTCAAAGTATCTTTCACAGAAATTCTGATTATAAATCAAATAATTTTTTTAAATGTATATCTTAGTTTCTTGTCATTTTATTCAGCATTTTTCTAAAACTTTATCAAAAAATCTTTAATACTTAGTCATAAAAAGAGAATCTACTCCAATTTGTCAGAATAATGAGGCTAATCTACCATTATAAAGATGGGTGACAGCTTTCAAATGTTTTTCTGGTTTATGGCTGAAGAAACTCTAGTTCCAAAATAGGAATAATTTCTTTTCCTAAGGTCTCTGAAGTCAAGGGATCTTTTTTTTTTTAATGTTTTTTTTTTTAATTTATTTCTGAGAGAGAGAGAGAGAGAGAGGGAGAGGGAGGGAGGGAGAGAGAGAGAGAGAGAGAGAGAGAGAGAGAGTGTGTGTGTGTGTGTGTGTGTGTGTGTGTGAGCAGAGGAGGGTCAGAGAGAGAGGGAGATACAGAATCTGAAACAGGCTCCAGGCTCTGAGCTAGCTGTCAGCACAGAGCCCAATGTGGGGCTCGAACCCACGAACTGAGATCATGACCTGAGCGAAAGTCAGATGCTTAACCGACTGAGCCACCTAGGCACTGCTTAAGTCAAAGGATCTTATTTTCTTACATTTATATCCTTATAAATGTATATACTTAAAATATATAATATAAATAAATACATAGCAAATGGCCTGGCACATAGAAGGAAAACAGTATTTGCTTAATGAATGAATATTCTAAGAGTATTTAAAAGGCAACTGTACTTCAAGGGGGGAAAAGTAAGCTATTACTAAGAAAGCTTAAACATTCCCATAAGCAGAGAATGTATTCCTTTTTTAGGTCTTAAGGACTACCGTAGGAGTATTTGGTGCTGTTTTATTTTTTAATATTTTAACAAATACAACTAAATAGTTACAAAGGTAATTCAATATTGAGGTTTAGAATTCAAAAGACATAGTAGATCTTCTTTCAAAAGGATTTTTACTATATACCAGCTCTCCCCAAAGGAACATCACATTTTACATCAAAGGAATTTTTATAAACATAAAATACTAATCTCCTAACCACATAGGAAAGATTATAAAGCATTTATTAAATATTTCTCTACTATGTGATAGGTACTACAATTATGTCCTAGACTTGATGAGTCAGAACCCAAAGGCCTGAAAAATCCAGACCAACTACTTTGGCCAAACTGAAATAATATTAGAGTAATATTGAAGCAAGAGTAAGCCTCTTGGTACCCAGTGACAGGATATTTTAGGTCAAAGCAGAAAAATGCTAAGAATGAACAACAAGAAAGGAGTCCATTCATTCACACAAAAGTGACATTTATACCGTTATGTGTTCCTCACCATCAGTCACTATTTTGATGTAGTTTTCCAGAAAGCAAACAGCACCTTCTCTTTACTCTTACTAATACATGGTAAAATAACCTCAAGTTTTCAATAAAATATTCATAGAAATAATCTTACCTCAGTCCTTCCTTGATTCCTAAAAGAAAGGAAAAACTTTTATTTAGATTTCATGTTTTCTTCAAATGTATGTTAAGAATTAAAAGAAATAACACTATTTCATATTTATATAAAATATAGCACTTACATAGACCAACTAATATTTACCCTTGGCTGTCCTCAACTAAACCACTTGTATTCATTTGGTAAAAATAAAAACATTAATCCCCTGTGTAGATATTATAAGTTTGTATCACTTAACACTATTACAACATGTCCTAATAATAGTTTACCCAAGTAACGATCTCGTTAAAATTCTTACCTTTATTTCTACGTGTGTGTCTAATAGCCTGATTTAAAACATATATATTAAATATCTACTATAAGCAAAGTACTGAGTGTAAGAGCTGTGCCCAGCCAAAAGATATAAAAGCTACATCTACAACTACAAATTTTAATTTTTTTAATGTTTGTTTATTTTTTGAGAGAGAGAGAGAGAACGCGAGTGGTATAGGCACAGAGCGGGGGGGACAGAGAATCTGAAAGAAGCTCCAGGCTCTGATCTGTCAGCACAGAGTCCAACACGGGGCTCAAACTCACGAACCGTGAAATCATGACCTGAGCCGAAGTCAGATGCTTAACTGACTGAGCCACTCAGGCACCCCAATTTTATTTTTTATTTTTTATTTTTTTTCCCAATTTTATTTTTTAAATATAGCTTATTGTCAAGTTGGTTTTCACTTAACACCCAGTGCTCATCCCAAAAAGTGCCCTCCTCCATGCCCGTCACCCATTTTCCCCTCTCCCCCATCAACCCTCAGTTTGTTCTCAGTATACAAGAGATACATTTTAATTAATGTTTAATTAAGAGAACCCCAATGTGCCAGGATCAGATAGGAGAACATTTCTTCTATTCTAAGAGTTGAGGAATGGCTTAACAAAAGAGAAAGCCTGAGCTAAATCTTGAAGGGTATCAGGAATTCAACAGGCTGAATTAGGAATATATATCAGAAGTATCAGCTGGGCAAAGCCACAAAGAGTCTGATCATGAAAATGTAGTCACATTTGGCTGGGAGAGTACTATAAGGCCACAAGTCTAAACATCTAAACCAAACTGACTCCATGACAGGCTTTAAGTTTCCCCTCTAAACTAGAAGGCCTGAGTTTCAGCTTCCCCGAAACTATCAGGCAGTTACACATTGCCCAAGGCAGGAGAAACCACCCTTGCAACACCCAATCAGGAAAGACCAGCGACCACCCTCCACAATACTAAGGGAGAGGCCTGGAGATAGAAACTATAGATAGGACCCTGTAACCTAATGTTAAAGTTAACCCGTTAGTCGCCGAACAAGACCTTAGGCTCGCTCTGTGATTGGTTGAATTTAAAGGTACTCTAAATGTTGTAACTGGATCCCGCCAACAGTAACGAATACTCTAGACAATGTGTATGGTCAAACCCGCTGTCAATGATGTTGTATAATTATGACTGGATCGCTGTTCCCATGTCACAACTTCTGTAACTCCCCTGTCACAAACCCCATAAAAACCCTACTCTGCCCTTGTTCGGGGCTCTCAGCACGGATCCACGGTGCTGGTGAAGTCTGTGAGCCCGTAATAAAGTCCTTTGCCTTTGCATGTGTGACTCGGTCTCCCCAGTGGTCTCTGGTCGGTGATCTGGGTATAACAGTACAAACTAAGAAAAAATGGGAGATGAACTATAAAGGAGAACTGAGGCTAGATCATAGAATATCCTGAATATCACAGTGCAGAGCATAGACTTTATTCCTTAGACAATAGAGAGCCACATGTACTGTATGAACAAAAGAATAAAGTATAAAGTATGCTCCTAGAAACTTGTACCAGAAAATATATATAAAATGGATATGAAGACCAGTTAGAAAACTACTGTTTCTCCTTAACACCAGATTGAGTTCCAACCTGCCTTCATTTAGGGGCTCAAACACTCATTCTGTCATTAAGTGTCTACAACCATTAGGCACTGTGCCAAGTGCATGGTACAGTATGAACACAGGTCTTTGTCCTCAAAGGTACTAGTTTAATGCAAAAAGATCCAATCCATGAACATGAACAGGATAATAACTTTATGAGAGGTACAACATGCTGTCATGAAAATGTAGATGAGAAAGCTAGCAAAAGATGAATTAAATGAAAGATGAGGTCAACAACATGGAGGCATTTCAGGTTAAGAGAATAATCCAATTAAACACAGAAATGAGATCTAGCACATTCTTTCTAACATCAGTGAATAGTAGGCTTGAGTCAAGTGGTAAAGAGCCTCTTAGGCCAGACTAAGGAATCCAGAATTTTAAACAGATTTATTTACCTCAGGACTCCTCAGAGTCTTTCACATATTAAAATGCAATGTTGATCCTCCTTCTGTTGGGAACCACCTTAAACAGAAGTGAAAATTTTCTAAGATTTCAAGTAAAAATATGCATTGCCAGCTCCTCTCAAAAGACTGAATGATTTGGCAGCAATGCCCTCCCCCACTCAATTCAGTATGACAATAATCCCTTTGAGATGCACAGACAGGCAATGAATTCACTGCAGTCCCTTCCCTATTACCCCTGGCCCTGGCTTCTAGGGGCATTTAGTTTAGCTACCTTTCAGACAGAGGCGCTGCAATCAAAATAAAGGCAAAGATGCAGGGAAAGCACTTGCGGAATGTTTACTGAATTGAATTGAGGTTAATGCAAAAACTCACAAAAAAGTAATGAAGGCTTTAACCAGATAATGGCAGAATGCAAGGAGGAGGAGTGTGTGGCAGGGTATCTGAGCTGTCAGAACTGACAGAAGAAGAAATGACTAGAAGAAGGAAGCAAGGGGAAAAGGACTGATTAAAGATCATGCTGACATTTCCAGTCTGGGGGACAAGAAAATCACCCAGATGCAATTAGGGAACACAACAGAGGATGACAGTTTTATTTTCATATATTTACTTACAACATCATCTTGGCTGGAATGATAAGAGATTGATGAACTCTAGGTGAGTTAATTTTCTATAATAAAAATTAGTACTTGAAGACCTAAGACTTATTTTAAAAGGATTACATATTCTTTTGTCTTGGTGTATAAATGTATGAAGTATATGTGACCTTTTGTTGTTCCATATTACCAATAAAATATATCCTTTTCAGGATGACCTGTGGTTAAAATTATAAACATCAACTACTGTAAAACACAGTGATATCCTCACAGGAATGAATGAAGTGAACACGTTAGTCCACCCTCTCACTGAATGCCTCACAATGCTATGCAGTTAGTCCTTCATCACTCTGAGTCCATTTCTCAATACCCCACCACTGTTTATTTAGACTCCAGCCCAGGTCCTCTGGCCTTTTTAAAAAATTAATCATTTGTCTTTCCTTGTTCTTACACTTTTTAAATACTTAGATCTGACATCAATGGGAGGAGACTTTTCACTGATCACTGACAGCCAATAAAACACCCCCTTTTCCAAGGTAAGAAAAACAACCAAATAATACCAAGTCTTTAACTATGCTCCAGGATTTTTTGTTGGTTTTGTTTTAATTCCTATTCATGCATCCCCTTCCTGAAAAAGTCAGCTCAAAAACCATTAGGTGAAGCCAAGCAAGGTGGGTATCTGAAGACTGGGTTGAGTAGGGAAAGCATAACCCAAGTGGGATGGAAAGCAAGAGCTTGGGGCTGAGGGGACAGCCTGGGGCAAGGTGTCAGAGCCCAGAAGGGTAAGGAAGCCATCCCCATAAAGGAATGCTTCAACAACAAGTGTGTCAGAACCTAGCAGGGTCAGGGGAAAAAGAGGGAGGGCACCTGGGTGGCTCATTCAGTTAAGCATCCTACTCTTGATTTCACGATCTCATAGTTGTGAGATGGAACAGGCTGTGAGATACAGCCTGGAGTCAGGCTCTGCACTGGGTGTGCGTGGAGCCTACTTAGGATTCTCTCTCTCCTCTTCCCTCTGCCCCTCCTCCATTCAAGCTCCAGGACATCCACCTTGGAAGAAACCTGAAGCAGGCTGTTTCAGCCCTAGAGGCGTTAAGTAGTCATGCCTAGGAGGACAGGAGGGGATGAAAGTCTGAATGCCCTGAGGAAAGCATCCCTGTGGAGAACTGCAAAGGTAGTAGCCTACTGTGGGATGCTAGAGCCCAAGTCGGGTGAACAGGATGTTCACACACTGGTGGGGAAGAGAGGGTTCTAAACAAGAACAGAAGCATGAGCAAAAAAGTGAATATATATTAAATAGAACAGGAACTAGGTTCTTCACTTTCAGAAAAGAGGTACAAACATGAAAAGGGAGAAAACCAGAAACAGTCTGGGTGTGAAGCTAGAACTAGATATTGGTGTAAATTATTTACAACATATGTAAATATACAAATAAATCTAGGTGTAAAGATGTATGTGCACATTGTACTTCCTAGTTCTGCCCACTGACAGGGTCTGGAGGCAGCAATGAGCACCTGTGATATCCAGATCTTAGTTTCTAAATACCATTTTCCTCTAGAAAGAACCAGGACTCCATGGGGGCACCTGGGTGGCTCAGCCAGTTAAGCATCCGACTCTTGATTTCCACTCAGGTCATGATCTCATGGTTCATGAGATGGAGCCCCAAGTCAGGTTCTGTGCGGACAGAGTGGAGCCTTCTTGAGATTTATTCTCATTCTCTCTCTCTCTGTCTCTCTCTCCAAATAAATAAACATTAAAAAAATAAGAAGACCTAAGACTCCATGGAAAAATGCCTGACTCCAGACTCTGACAGAAATATACAAGATGAGTCTAAACCATTTCTCTATGACAAAAAGTAAGTGCTCAAAGAATGATGAAGGCATGCCAGAAGGCCACGGGACCACACTACTGAACTGTACATGTAACAAAGGGACAAGGGAACCAGGCAAGAAGGAGCTTCCAGTGGCTGCATTTTGGGCAATTTGAACATGAAATAAATGACAGTAACAAACTGTGACTCACTGACTAAAACTGGAATCCGTGAGTTCACACTAGCATAGATAAATTAATAAAGTGGAAAATTTGATGAGAAAT